TGATGAGATACAAGGGGGGAGTTGTGAATGAAGAGGGTGGTGTGAGTTAGATAAAATGAATTTGGCCCATTTTTCACATGAGTCCATGTGCCTGTCAACCAGAATATTAACAAGCTGGTTAAGTGGCACGTTGATTACCCTGCTGACAACCTTTAACATCCTGCGTAATAAGGTATAGTCTTTCTTCAGTAGCCCTGGAAAAACTAAGGGGAACAATAGAGAATAATAGGCAGAATGCGAGAGTTAACGAATTGTAGGAGTACGGGTTGGGTATACCAGAATGCCTTAACTTCTTGATGTAGAAGGTAGGACGGAATATTTTTTCAGAAATCGTCAGGATATGAGACGACCAGGAAAGATCAGCAGATAGAATGACGCCTAGGTATTTAATTTCTGACTTGGTTTCTATTTCAGTGCCATCCATGTTGCACACCTCATGAGAGCCTTTAATGTTTAAAATAACATGAATAGATAAATTCGCCCAGTGAACTACTGCAAATAGAATTCAGGTTCAGTTATTTTTCTCTACCTTTAACATTTTCTGTTTCTAATTTATCTATTTATATGAAACTTGGAAACTCTGGTAGTATGTACTTGCAAATTAATCCGTTTATCTGAACTACTTAATAATAATAATAATAATTTGCTTTGCTTTGCTCCAAAAACAGTGCTTATAATACAGTGTGGGATTCTCAGCATTTGGTATAATACTGTATCCAATTTACTCAATAACAATGAAAACAAAACTATATGTTACAGGGTATAGACAATCAAAATGGAGTGACAATAAAGTCAACAATCTACAAAAAGTGTAAAATAATAATCACAATAACGTTAATGACTAAAATTATAAAATAACTGAAATATTGTCACCATGAATTGCAAATAGGAGAAGACGAAAAAGAGCCATTTATTTTGTTAATTGCACAGTAATTTGTAGGTATCGCTATCTTAACACTATCTTTATCAAATAGAATGCAGGTAAAATAAGGTGTTGGTGAGTCTTTTTCACTTGATTGTGGGAGAATATAGGCTTTTATATTAACTGCTAGTCCTATCTGATAAGATAAGTAGAGAGAGTTGTGAACAAATGGGTGTTGAGTGTCAGACAATATGGATTTAGACTATTTCTAGCATGAGCTCAGGTGTCTGGCAACCATAACTGTAACGAGCTGACTAAGTGGTGCACCACTCGCCCTACTGACAACCTTCGATTCGCTTCATATTATGACAAAGTCCTTTTTGAATAGCTCAGGAATGACCAAATTGGAGCAATAAAGAACGAAAGGTAAGATGCAAGAGTTGATATTCCGGACTACTACTACCACTACAACCAATCCTCCTAGGACAAATTCCAGAGAAGTGCTCGACCTTTAAATACGCAAGTTTACACCTCATGTGATCATGAACAAATAAATTGTTTTCAAAACATTATCAAATTAAATAGGACTACTGTTTCGCTCTGCCATATATCCAACAAATAAGTGGATATGCAAACTTGATTTTCCTACCTATTGGTTTTATTATGTTGTCAAAAGTTTCGAAAATTTTCCTAACGAGTGCACTGTCACATATTTTATATCCTTCATATCAGATACTCAATCATAAAATTACAATTTTTCACCATACTTCCCTCTTATGCAAATTTTATCATTGACAGTTTTACAGTTCACATAAAATATCCGAATTTCAGCTGTTTCTTCAAAGTTCTACGGTATGGTATATACTTCACAGTGGACAGATACAGTTGTGTAACAAAACAAGATGTGATGAAAGGATGATTGGTAAATATTTAAGTACTACTATGTCACATGGTAATAGCTTTGGTCAACTCTCTGAACAGAAGATTTTCGTTACCTTAAATGATCAGGTTTGTGTAGACAGTATTAGGGGCTTGTTTCAAGAATAACTTATCTCAATGATTATACTAGACCAAAATGTTAAGTCTGTGGTGATATGTCAGCTTCTACTACAGACGCTTCAAAAATGTTTGAGAATTAATATGACGTTATTTCGGTTGATAGTGACTAAGAGTGGATTAAAAAATGAGCACTTTAAGCTCTAGTGATCTAGTACGTAATGCTTTGTCTTTTGAAACGATACGTAGAGACACCGTCATTCACTAATGACTGAAGCTTCATCCCTCTGACGACACCTAAGTGGGACGAAGTGCATATCTTGGATTCTTTTACTAATAATCAAGCAAACTAGTATCAAAGATTTTTGAATGAAAGTAACTTTGTCTAGTACGAAGTAATATTAAGTCCGTAATGTCCACTTTTAAACGCTTCTTATGATATAAAAAGTCTTAGTCCAAAATCGACTTTTACTATGATAATAACTATCTATCCATCAAATTGTCAACCATCCGACTAATGAAGATCAGGTTCGATTCCCGGCCTATGTAATTCTAAGCCTCACTTAGGCGGTGGTGGTTCCAGTAACGAAATGAGGCTGGGTTTGAGACTAACTATCCCATCCCTTAAAAACAAAACTTCGCCTACTGAAACATCAAACTTTACAAGCTTTAAGCCTTATGTCTTACTCTCAATGAGGGGAAATGGGCATCATGGAGTGATGACTGGAAGAATATTTAGCATTGAAAGTGTGTAGTATGTTACTAAGCTATACAAAAACCAAGAATATTAATTAATATAAATCCGGAAACAATTATCTCAGTGAAACTGAGAGGTGAATCAAAATACTGGATAAAACCAGTCAACTGAAGTCTTGACTAGATTTCAGTTAGATGCATTTGCTCTGCTAACTCCACTGTATGCTGGTTAAGCGTTGAGATTTAAATGTTGAACAACCTTCAATATCTCTTCAAACGCTGAGTTTCATTTACTGTTGATTTAAGCATTTTTCTCATATTTCACATTAGATGACTGACCACCTGAGGTACTTTTAGTAAGGACAACCGATTCGCAAAGCTGGTACCCTGATTGTAGTTTGCAAAATATCCGCTTCCTTTTCAGATACCTCCTCTTGAATAAAACATCCATACATCCATCCATCCAAATTATTTTAATTTGGGCGAAACGATACTGTAACCAACTCAGCTGAAAAAATAAATGCAACCACTTAAAACTGAATTCATTTAGTTGATATCTTTTTAGAATGCAAATCACCATTACGATATTTTTAACTTTGGCTGAAATTAATTCTACCATTTGGCACATTTATGCATGATGCCTGTCTAATATTCATTTTGAAAAAGGACATTTTTTTATCTTGTTGTTAAGACTACTCACAGAAACTTTACTGCTTTCGTGGAGAAGTGCATTTAATAACTCACTGACAACATTATATATAGTTCACATCTAGATATGATTTAGTAAATTAGATTTTTCAATGTCTGAAGAACTCAGATCGTGATTTAAAAATAAAAGGGAGGCTGATAAATCTCTTATATTATAGAAAATTTGTTCTATACGTGACAAAAACATGGCAAACTGATTTGGTTTCAACAGAAAATGTAGATAAAATTAGGTTTCTCTAAAAACCAACATAATCATAATCAAAACCTCAAAATAAGTCTTTGTTTACCGAGAAGCTTAAAATCTTCACTCAGTAGTGCTAACTTTGATTTCAAGTTTTAAAAAGTAATTCACGCTATAAATTAAAACTTTTCATAGGACAATTGTTTTCATTCATTGTGAAGACATACATCTGTTAGCATACCGGATGCAACTTCCCCATCTATTCACTTCAGTAAAGTGGATGAGATTACTTTGTTGTATTTCAGAATTTATCAAATATACGTGCAGTTTATTGTGGATACATAGTTAAGACCAGTATATTTGTTTATGAATTTAAAAAGAGATCATTATCTTGATAAGCACTATTTTTTCAACACCTGATATCTGATTAACACAATGGCTGTCGCAATGCTTTAATTCTTCCTATATATTCATACGCTGCTGTAGCATGTTGGTATGTATCACTAAGTCAACAAGGCCTTTAAAATACTGAAAGTATTAAAAAATGATGGGATCAAATTTTTTCAGGCTATAAACAGTTAAGACCAAGAGAAAAAACATTCTCATTTCTGTAGCAGCGTATAAAAAACGGTGAAATTATAACAATGATCTTGATAAAAGTTTGTAAGATGAGAAACCGATATTCCAGTGAAGCAGTAAAATAACATATACTGCAGAACTAATAGTGCAATAAAATATTCCTCATACCTAAATCCCTGACAATTTAGTGGAGCTTTATATAGAAAATGAGGAAGAACAAATGTTACACCAATAAGTGTTTATGTCTGGTGGCAGTTCATACACTAATTTATGAAAAGTACAGTGATTGTCCTTTGACCGTTATTCATAAAAAGTAAAAATGACCTAGTAAGCAAAATGACTCAGCACACAATCTTATTAAAGTACTGGTCAGGCCGCATGTCACAGGATTAGGCATTCCATTTCAAAACAGGTGTTACGGACTGAAACTTCAGCTCAGCTACTGAAGTATCTGTAGGCTAAGATCATCATATAAGTAACTAGTGTGGCTCATTGCAATGTTTACCAATATTTTTGGTGTGTAGGGTGACGCACTGTATTTATGATCGTGACAAAAGTTTTATAAAGTTAGTTGGCTGTTTATTCCGAATTCATGACATTTATCAATGACTCAAAAATCACAGTCACTGGCTAATTTTTGAATATAATTGAAGCTGTTTGTTATAGCAGCATATAAGGAAAATCTTGTTAAGGCGAAATTCCATGCCTTTTTCATTTCAAGCACTGGTCAGCCTAAAAGCAGAAATACTAAATACAGCTCAAGCATTATCACTTATACTTTCAGATACTGGCACACTTGTGTGACAGACAGTCAAATTAAAATCGGTAATATACCAGTATATAGCTTAAATCTTGAGACAAAAGAAGTATAAGTGCTACTGATAAAATAATATTCACTTCTATATCTATCTTTAAAGCTCTGGGTTACAGTCAAGTTTATGTATCATAAAAAATATAGTTTAGTGAATAATTAATTACCTTGGAAATCTACAATCACATATGGATCGCTTTTTCCTGATATTTCCTTGTTTTTCAGATGATTGGCTTTCTTCACGTTCACATGAAGCGCATACATGTTTCCCTAACCAAAAGTGACACCAAACCGAATATGACCTACAAAAATGTTTTGACGGACTTAAACACAATACGCTCGCCATCCAATACTTACCACAGTGAATGACGTTACTGAAAAACTTTTAATCCGTCAGTTCTAAACACAATACCGTTATCAAACAGCAATAAATAGTAGCTTCATTTTAAACTTTAACTACATTCACTTTATTCCAGATATAATTATTCATACTGATGGAAATGGAAATCCTGTAGGGATGGAAGTCTAATTCGCCCTGGTTTAGGAATCTTCAGAAGTTCATACCCATGACCTTACCGGAAGTCGAAGGCACTATTATGAAGTTGTGGTAAGCACGTTGGTAATATGTGGTCGGTGGATTCTAATCTCTGTTAATTGGTGGCATACACATATAAATTGCAGTATATGGAAAGTGTACGGAAATTAGTACCATTGGGTTGCAGTACATTGATTGAAACTTAAAATGCACACATCATAACTTATTGCTGTTTAGAATGTGCACTACTGTAGAGTTATGAATTAGAACTCAATAGTTGTGCATGAATCATATAGTTATCTTTCAATCTGCAAGCATGCATGTTTATAACAAAGCCTACCACAGAAATAACCTATGGGCACAGAAAAGGGGTGATTCTGTGAGGGAGCATCTTGTGAGTCAATCCTAAAAGAGCAGAAAATCTCTATGGTCTCCATGACCCCAAACTTAAGATAAACCACATAAACATCCAAAGGCGGTTAAAGGCTGAAGAAAGTATTAAGTCAGGCGACTGAACAAGTAGGAAATATGCTTTCCTTAAATTAGTGGGTTCCCCACCCCTCCATTGAACAGTTCTGAATGATAATGGTAATATACTGTAGTGCTGTACACGAAGGGCGCCATTTTACAAGCATGATCAATGTATGATCAGTGGGTCAAATCAATGAATATATATTAGTCTCATTCACAGTAGTCTACGGTTATCGTAGTTTTTAAAGCACAGAGATGTAAGAGAGACAAGAGTAATGCAGTGATGTTGACACGTATATTTACAAAGATATAAACAGCGAAGAAAATTTTCTTTTCGACGATTCATTTTCATGAGTACATAAAATGAATCGTCGAAAAGAAAATTTTCTTCGCTGTTTGTGCCTTTTTCTTATGACTCAATATGGGAATATTTCGTTCATTAAAGATATAAACGATGAACACTGTCTAATTCTGGGTGTAAGCACTATTTCAAATGTGATTAGGGCAACGACAATTGAGAAACTGTGTTACAAACTGTCAGTGTTACAGCTTATCTCTTAAATCGTAAGATTATGTAAAATGTTAGTCAACTTATCAGCAACAGTGTTTGTGGCACTAATGGCTGCAGGCGGCTCACGATAGAGAGTCCGTGTGCATCTAAACACTCCCGAAGGAATTACTAATTCGAGCGTGTATACCCTTCAATTAATGTGACTAGATTTCCCCAATTCATCTGATAACTAGCGTGCTTATATAACACATAATAAGAACAGACAGCTGTCTCCCATTGCTATACACTACAGAATGATAATTTAAGTTGGCATTTGGACAAAATTTGGGTGACAGTAAGGAATAGACATCAAAGCCAATCGACCTTCAGCCAGTCAATCATATCAATAACCCCCATGATTAATTGATGCACAGAAACAAGTTTATTCTGTCAAAAACAAGCCTTTACGCATTAAATTCACTTTAAGGGCTAACGAGAGGATTGGTTGGCTGAGTGACATTTGGCCGTGGTAGCTACTGTCTATAGTCGTAAACACTTGGCCACCAAACATGCACATCAAATCCTTAACTGGGAAGGTGCATTGGCAACAACGAAAAAGCTCTACATATATGACATAAAGTCACCAATTTGCACAGTTCTCCCGGAAAATCGGATAACCTGAGGAACTATTATTAGGGAAGCCAGTATTTTGGAAGAAAATTCTTGACATCATATAATTTGAGGGCACTGAGTGAAGTTCACATGAATGCAACACAATTCCCCATGCCAGCATGCCGCAATTTGTTATGCGTCAATATGAAGCAGATTAACTTGCGTGTGGTGTTGAACAAAGAGTACTGAACGCCGGTTTCTTGCAATGAATGCAGGAGAAAGTTTATGAAGTCACCTATAAATAACAAGGACCAACGACACAGTTCATTGGGGATCAAAAATTTTATTAGTCATGTGCGAATGTCATATTTAAATGCAAAACACCAGAACTTCTTGTTTCATGGTTAATTCTTTTGTCCAGCAGACTCAAAGCAGTTCCATCATTCACTGGGTCATACAGAATACGTTTATTGGTCTCCACGATATATGGAACGTGTGATGCGTGGATAGTAACACAAAAAATTGGTACAAATCATCGGAACTGCTTTTGACCAAGACTTAAAGAAGGGAATGTGATAGTAGTATGAGACGCAATGGCTAAATTGCAATATAAGCGCTGTAAAATCTGCAGACATTAGCGGTTTACGAGACATGAAGTGAATGACAGAGGCTGCAGTTCATGTAATGGCGTCCAAGAGGTTCAACAAAAAGAAACCGGGCTCATCTGACCACATGGATCTAATTGTTTCCCTACAGGATAGTGGGATTTAAGGAGGTTTTGTTTTGAATAATATCTTATCATATTCTCTTGCATTCATAAATACTTTTGATATTACTGCAACAGGATCCTTTCAAGGGATTTGCACAGCTGGAAGTTTTTCAGTTGCTGAGATATGTGGACTACGTAGAACAGAGTCTGGAAATTGGAAGCCGAGAGAAATTTTCGCCTCAAAATCACTGTTGCGGTGTCAAAAAGGCTATAAATATTAGCAGACTTAGGTGCACTATCCTATAGTAGATAAGTTGATTTAATTTAACAAACAGTGATACAGTATGACGTTTCGAGCACAGTTTATCTGTCACAGTCATATTAGTGTTTTCATACGGCTTCACAATTTGCCTGACATATTTGTTTTCGCTTTCCCTTGTTGTTCAGTGTCAGGAGGAAGTGGGGTTGGGTGACACTTAACGAACTCACTCAAAGGAAGAACGTTTCCGACTTAAGGACCCGACGGATCCAATAAAAATAGTAATGCAGTCTAAAAAATGCCATGTAACGACTGTGAAGTCAATTAGGTAAGTCAAACTGGTAAATCAAGTGAACTAGAATGACTGACCCTGATGAATTTAATAAGGCTCGGCCGTCAAAATGTATTCGCCTGAATAAAATCACACAAAATGGTGGGATAGGGTGAGATTGATAAAAAGTAAAATAATTAGATGATTGGAGGTAGTGTGTGCAAGCACAATGATATACACAAGGCAATTTGGACTTTACATGGCGAACACATGTTGAACCAGATAAGCCTTTTCTCAGTGTTTCTCAAGAAAGCGGAGACGCAGCCTGCTGGGCACAAAGTCGAGAAGTGAAGTAGATGTGGGCACAGACCATCATCATTGACGTCGGGCTAAAAGCCTTCAAAACAACCGTAGACAGACCACAATTTAAGCTCAGCACTGAGAAACTGCCGCTATCAGAATAAAGTCGAGGGCACTACGTGGTGTCACCGAGGAGACCTGTGTGGAAGAACACTGGAACTCTCAGAAAGTAATGTTCAGGGAAACATACAACCGCCTAGGGAAGAAAGAAGAAATAAGGCAAGGAATGGCTCTCTGCGGGCACCTGGAAACTAATAGGAGGTGCGTCGGTGGCGCAGCGGTTGGGATGCTTGCCGATCATGCACATAGTCCGTAGTTCGATCCCCTGCCGACGCACACCCGATATTAATGGTTGGCCTGCAAAACTGGGCTACCGATATCACATTCTGAAAATTCCATACTTGTACCAAAAATACGGTGTGGAGTCAAGCTATAATCAAATAAATAGAAGAGAGGAGGATTGTGAAGCAGAAGATGCCCAAATGCAAGGTTGCACAACAGAAGGAGAAGCTGAGTAGAATGTTCATCGCACTGCACTGAATAAAGAAGTGAGGAAGAGCCCTAGGAGAGACAAAAGACAATTCTATGGCACACTGACAACTGAAGCAGAACATCCTGCAAGTGAAGGAGACCTGAGAACATTATTTCTTATAACCATGCCTCTATCTGGGGAAAGATAAACGCAGATGAAACCAATAAAAGATGGTGAAGGGAACCTAACTACCAAAGAGGAGGGGCAGACAAAACAATGAGTCAATCTCTCCAAAGGACTCCTAAATTGACAATCACCCGCAAGTCGTCCAGAAATACCACCAACAGCAGGCACAAAGGACATCTATCCTGCAGCAAAAGCGGAAGTTTCGAATTTAATCAAGGTACTGAAGGCCAGCCGAGAAGGCAGCAGGATCAGATGAAATTCCCACCGAAGCACTGAAAAGGAACCCATAGACTGCAGCGGATATGATCGCAGCGCTATTGTAAAAGGTTTGAGAGGAAGCGAAGTTATCCACCGACTAGAAGAAAGGCAACCCTGTCAAACTACCGAGGAAAGGCGACTTGGGTTTCTACAAGGACTAACGCGGAATCATGAACCTGTATACACTTAGTAAGATACTAATTAGCATCATCCTAGGGGGATAAAGGATCTACTGCAGGCTGCAAATCATATAGTGATCAAATTGCAACTCTTTGCATTATCATCGAACAATTTCTTTAATCATGTCAATCAATGCAACGACAGTTAACAATAGAGGAAGAGCAATGCTGGTTTTAGGAAAATTCATTCAAACTGTTCCTTTAAATTATGTACATTATGTAGTTACAGAGGAACTAGGAAACTCATTAAGTCATTACATATATAGGAACAATAATTGAGCGCACAACGAAGGGTCGATTAAAAAGAATGGCCTCTCGATATGGCCAAGAGTTCACGTGCAGTAACACATAACTACATCGCTGCAGATGCGTCTGCGTAAGGTATCGCATTTCGCCAGTCCTTCGTCTGTATGACTCAATGGGACACTTCCATATTTCTGGAATGTTCATTCCATGAATTCT